TATAGTTAAACATCTAGCCCGCCTGGGTCATGCTCCTCGGCTCCTCGGCCCCATGACCCGAGACACGCCTGTGCGGCTAGCCTACCTGCGTCGTGCTCCTCGGCTCCTCGGCTCCTCGGCTCCATGCTCCCCGAGACACACCTACGCGGCTAGCCCGCCTGCGTCGTGCTCCTCGGCTTCTCGACTCCATGACCCGAGACACGCCTGCATGGACAGCCCACTTGCCTCGTGCTCCTCGGCTCCATGCTCCCCAAGACCGCGTCTGCGCGGCCAGCCCACCTGAAAGCTGAACCCATGCTTCGGACTCCCATTACAACGACCGACGCATAGCTTCTTTCCGAGGGGGAATATGATGAGGATAGTAATTATGATAAGACTCGGCTGACGTTAGATGACGCCTCACGCAATAGCACCTGGTCAATGCAGATCGGAACGTCGACCGAGGCGCATTAACATCCTGCCAAAGCTCAATTCTTTACGCCACGCCAACACAAAGTCAGACGCTACCAACCTGCCCCCTGCAAGTGGGCAGCTCAGGAAGCAGTAAGCTTCCCTATAAATACCCTCTCGTTCATCAAAAAGAGGGGGAGGGACAGACACACAAAAACACTTCTTCATCTGAAACCCCCTCCACATCTGCTAACTTGATCGTCGGAGGGGTCGGGCCGAGCACCTCGGCCCGACCTTCGTGCAGGTGTGAAGCCGAAGGTCCCCTTCGGACAGGCAGGCAAGGAGTTCCTGCCCGGAGGAGACGGCTACACCGTCCCGATCGGACACCGCACTCGACCACCTCAGCGGGCTCGAGGAACGCCCCAGGGAGATCCCCGTCGTCCGGACCCGAACCGAGCCGCGTCAGCCCCGAGGCCATGGCTCAAAGTTGTTTCTCACGACACTAACTTACACTTTCTAAAATGATGAAAAATTTTCCTAGCTTGTATGTTGTAGAACATGCTATCTTACTATCTTGTATATCTAAAGATAGCTTGCATGTTCTAATATGATGTAGCACTTGCTGAATTTTTGCTAGCTTGTATGATGATAAAAATGGAGATTATGTTTATCATGTAATGAGTTGAACTTGTATTTTCAAATATTTGAAAGTTACACTTCTCCTTTTTGTTGATGATAAAAGGGGAGAAGTATGATTATGTTATGCATGATCACGTGTTGTAAATATTCAAGATGAAATTTGCAATGACTTGGATTCAGTTTGAATTCAAGGTTCTATCAATATGGCATATTGATAGGGGGAGTTCAGGTTAACTCCATCATCAATTGGTTGTCATCATAAAAAAGGGGGAGATTGTTGAATCTCGTATTTTGATGAGAAAACCAATTGATAAATATTTATGATTTGATCTGTATTTTTAGTGACGTAGGATTTTCGATCAGGATGAGACAATTAAAGCAGGAAGAATCATGTTAGGCCAGTGGAACATGTCAGAAGATTGGACGTCGAGCTGGAGGATCGGTCGACGTATTGACAGAAGGCTTCGGGCCATGGATTCAGGCATCGAGCCAAGAAGAGCGGATATTGTACCAAAGATATGAGAGTTGCAGAGTCAGTTGGCCGATTGGGCAATAGGCCACAAGAGAGGACGATGCACCGAATAATCGGACGAATCGTCGATGGACCAACGACATGCTAGACAATATGATTCATGCTTAGTATTAATTGTCTAGATCAAAGTATGTTTTTACATATGTAGGATTAACTACGATAGCAAAGCATAAAGCAAAATGGAGTCCTAGAGTCAAGGATACGATTTCATTGGGAGTTCGAGAGTTCGTCGGAAGTCTAGACGTTCGTTGGAAATTATGCAAGAACCAGCCGAGAAGTCTAAGAGCTTGCCAGAAGAAGCTTGTCGGAACTCGCCAAGAAGATTGTTGTGAAGTCCAAGAGCTTGTTGGGAGTCTACTGGAACATTGCCGAGAGATCGTCGAAAGTTCACCGGAAGATCGCTGGAAGCTCGTCGGAAGAAACTAGACTTACAGACTTGTTTAGCTTAGTAAAATTCTTTCATAGTTAGCACATAATTGGGATTGGAATTGGGCCAACCCAATTATTGGCTAGTTGGGCCCATGTAAGGACTGTGTTTGACCTAATAAACGGCCCAAACAATGACCCAAGAAGTGGCACCGTCGTGGCACAGTCTTCAAGATTATGTCAAGTGGTGGTACCGCCCTTAGCAAGGTGCCAGGTGGTGGTACCACCCAGTGGCCTAGTGCTAGGTGGTGGTACCGCCAAACTAGGCGGTGGTACTGCCTAGTGTAGTGTTAGTGTCAGACTGACACTAGCGGTAGTACCGTCCAGCACAAGTGATGGTACTGCCCGAACCTAGGAAACCTAGGATGAGATATTTTTAGGCTCCAAGTTTGAATCAACTTGAGGCTTATAAATACCTCTCTCATCCTTGGTTAATATACACAAGTATTGAGAGTAAAAATGAAAGAAACTCTACTATAATCTTATGTAAAACTCCTCTTAAAGTTCTAAGTGTTAGAATAGTTTGAGAGAGAAGTGAGTGGGGGTGTAAGGGTTATCTCCTAAACTCGGTAAAAGGAGAAAGAGCTGTAAGAAGGAGGTTGATCTTTGCCTATAAAGGAAGATCGATAGTGGATGCCGGTGGCCTCGACGGAAGAGGAATTGATGGAGTGGGTGTAGGTCACGACGACCGAACCACTATAAAATTGGTGTGTTCTTCTCTGGTTTGCATTTCTATATTTGAGCAATTTACTTTATTGCAAACTTCTTAACTTACTTTACATCTACTATGCATCTTTTGTACGCTTTGAAGCTATCTTTACGAAAACGTTTTCAAGTTAACCTCTCTCCGAAACGGTTTATGTCAAAATCGATTTTTATCATATGAAGGTTTTTTGAACCGATGTAATTTTACCGCTGCACTAATTCACCCCCCGCCCCTCTTAGTGTCGACTCTTTTCCTAACAGATTTAAACGATTGTCAAATCAAGCTAAAGATTGATTCGAATGATAACTTATGGGAGCATTTACTAAAGGACTTAATCCAGATATCCGGTGTGAAGTCATAGCTCGCTAACCCCGCACTATGATAGCTGCAATTTCATTTGAACGTTTACACGAGGAAAAAATCAGTAGAGAAAATCATAGAAACAAAAGTGATAACAAACAAATGATCAACAAGCCACCTGCCCCATCTATTCCCAACTGAAATCCTAAAACCCAAATACTAACTCGAGAAGAACTCAAAATCAATGAAGGGTTTGTGCAAGCACTATGATGAAAAGTGGAGTAGGGAGCACCGATGTAAGCAAGGAAAACTTCTGATGATTGAACCAATTGGGGAGAAATTGGAAGCTAACAATGTGGAATCCGATTATGAAAGTATAGATTCTAGTGAAGATGTTGGACCTATCATACATATAGTGCATGCATTAACCGACTATTCTAACCTGCAAACTATGAAAGTTGGAGGAACTTTGGAACATCAACATGTTATAGTTTTAATTGATACTAGTAGCACTAACAATTTTATGGATAGTAAGGTTGCTGATCGATTGACCTATCACATTGAAGGCTATGACAAATTTGAAGTAAAAGTCACTTATAGATGAATTTTAACTTGTGGTAGCAAATGTTCGAAGATAAAATTGGTTATATAGGGCCAAGAGTTACTTGTAGACTTCTTTTTGCTATCCTTGGAAGACTTCGAAGTGGTGCTTGGAATTGAATGACTATCAACCTTGGGTGATGTTTCTTGGAATTTTTCTAAACTAATTATAAAGTTTTTTATTAATGGAATGCAGGTGATCCTAAAAGGAAAACGTTGAAGTAAGATCACAATTGCCACTAGCCATCAGATGGAGAGAGTTCTCCAAAAGACTACAATGACTAATACACCGAAAGTTTGACTTATTGCTTACACTATCAAGAAGTGAAGATCGTACTTACTTGATCAATAGGTTATGATACACCGTAGATACCTTGTAACTGAAGTATTGAAAGAGAAAATCCTCAAGTTTGATGCTGCTCGGCCTTGAGGAAAAGCTGATTTGAAGGGGGAGGAATTGTTAGGATCCCTTTATTTTTTTAGCTTTTGAATAATATTTTATCGAGTTTGTTTTATCCAAGTCGGATAGGATTTATTTAATATTTATTTATTATTAAGAGTCTAATTCATAGTGAACTCTAGATGGAACTCTATAAATAGAAATATATATTTCAGTAAGCAAATAAATATAATTCTAGTCTTTGGAAAACTTTAGGAAGTCGATCCCCTTAAAGTGATCAAGAAGGTCGATCCGCTCGAAATGATCATCCCCGTTTCTCCTCTTTCTTCTATGATATAACCCTAGCGTCTTATCAAATTCACTATCGATACGCTGTGGCAACATGATGCATATAATGTCTCATCGACATAGCAAAAAATAAAAACTCTGAAAGTTATTTATTTTAATTTTTATATTAAATTTTATTTTACGAGCAATGTTTCTATTTATCAAATTTAAAAGTATTTAAATAGTCTATTTAACCAGACTTTGTTCTCGATGATCGAGCAACGTGGCGTGTGGATGATAAAAATGTTCCTTGTCTTGCTCCAGATGTATGAGCTGCACCACATCATCAGCCCGCATGAAAGAAAAAATGAAAGGAAAAAAAGATAGAAGTAGAATAAATAAGAGAGAATAAAAGAACGGAACCAAGCCTGTGAGGCTCTCCGGATCGACTCCTCCTCCTCCTCCTCCTCCTCTCTCTCTCTCTCTCTCCTCCCTCTCTTCCTCCTTTCCAAACCCTAACCCTTACCTTTTATTCTTCCCATTGAAGCTTCGATCCGCCTGATCCTCTTCTGCTGGGGCACGTCGCGGCCGCTTCTCCTTTCGAATTCCGGCCTCCGAGATCGGCTCCCGTCAACCGCAGATCGGACGGGCCGGAGGTGGGGGGCTGGAAGATGCCGTCGTACGCGGACCTGGACCGCCAGATCGAGCAGCTCAGAGAATGCAAGTTCCTGCCGGAGGCGGAGGTGAGGGCCCTCTGTGACCAGGCGCGGGCTGTCCTCGTCGAGGAGTGGAACGTGCAGCCGGTGAGGTGCCCCGTCACGGTCTGTGGTGATATCCATGGGCAGTTCTACGATCTCGTCGAGCTCTTCCGGATCGGTGGGGAGGCGCCCGATACCAATTACCTCTTTATGGGGGACTATGTAGGTCAGTCTTTTAAGGGAAGAACTAGCAAAAGAATGCATTCCTTGCTCCATTCGTGTTACTTGCAATTGATCTGATTTTGGTTGTGATCTCAATTTTCCATAAGTTCACAACTGTTCTCTTCCTTGCAGTTTCCTTCTGCTTACAAGTAGATGGTTAACGCATATAGAAGCGAGTTGTGGTTGTGTTCTGCCCATGAAAGGGGAGCAGACTTTAGTTGGTTGAGTGACAATTTTTTGGACTTGTATGTGCGCAAGAAATATGGTTTCTTTTTTTTTTTGTCAGCAGTTAATATATCGGAGACACGTCATTTGTCAAATGTGTTACGATTTTATCTATCACTCACCGGACCTTTCTACCATATGCTTAAAATATGATATTTTGCAATATCATAGTCAAAAGGTGAATAGCTGCCCGTTTCTTTACTAATTCTATAACGTATTGGATTTTTAACACCAACTCTAGGTATATTTCACACTAACTTTCTCTGCAAGTCCAAACAAAAACAAAGTTATTAGAAAGATTGTGCGATATAATATGAAATTGGTTCGACATTGTTATTAAACAAAGTCAAAAAAATATATTGTGTCATATATCAAGAAGTTGGTTTAATGTAGTTACTTGAAATATTATGCCTGAATGAGTATGTCAACTTTAGCTCATTGTCTAAGTCTCAACAACAAGAACAAACCATAATTTTCTGACTATTTGGGATTGGCAACTCCTTATCTAGTTAATTTGGTTTATGTTTGAAAAGTTTTCTTTTCTCTGTTCATTTTGCCGGCTAACTATGTCAAGCGTTAAGTTATCTGGCTCAGGGATTATCACAAGATTTGGTTTTCTAAGGTCTGATCATGTTACTGACATGGAAGAACTATATGAGAGTGTCAGAATGCTTCTGGAAAAATTGATCTACCTGACATCATAATGGTTTATATTCATTGTTAATAGTATGCAATTTTTTCTTTGACACACTTGAAGCTTGACTAGGTGGACTTACCAACTATTCAATGGTCATGTTACCTCATAGTTTGACTTTTGCAAGTTATATATATTAATCTTGACATTGATGGACAAAACTTTCAAGCATATGGCTTAATGGCAGTGGTTGACAAATGAAATATATGGCTTTATTAAACTTATTTTGTTTAACTGACAATCAGACTTTTTTGCAATATGGGGGAGAATTATAGTAGATGTCCACAGTAACCTGTAACTCGAGATGAATTTTCCTATATGAGGCCTGATTCCATCTGTATAGAAATAATAAAATAGATTATATGGCAAACATGTTAAGAAAAAAAAATTGTAGAAGGATTTCTAGTCATGTCAGATTCTATTTTGAGGGAGATGAAATATCTGTAATGAAAGTGAACTAGGGAGTTGTTGTGCATTTCGTCCTCTTGATATCTCAGAGAAGGTTTTAACAATAGGCTGCAAATCTTTTTTGGTTACAGAAATAATCTCTACAGAAGGATGCCAAAACTCGAATGAGCATGGTTGATCTAAATGTGTTTGGTGAACATGAAAAATAGGAACAGAAATGTGAGTGAGAATGGGAGAGCCTGCTAGTTGCTAGTGTTTTGCAACTATTGGATTTGGGCTTTGAGATTTGTGGTTTTTAGTTGGCTGTCAAAATGAGTTCAACTTGTCTTGCGCATATCTTAGTTGCAGGTGTTTGATCACAGCTTGTTAGACATGTGTATTAGCATGCTGACTTTGAGCTTAAACTCAATTTTTTCATGATCAAGTTATTCCAACTTTAATCTCCTTGGTTTGTCAACAATTGGATTATAGCATTAATCATCGAAACTTGAAATCCTCACAGTTCATTTGCAGTCCTGTGTGCAATGAAAATATGAGTTTCTAATATGAGAAGGAGCATGAATATCTTGGAAGTCCAAAGAGGGAGAAGGAGGTCTAAGAACATCTGTATGGAAGCTGTGAGACAGTTAACAAAATTTAACATTGTGATATGTATTAATAATTACTGATAAAAGACTTTAATTGAATAAATAAAAACCCTAGGTAGCTGTCTCAAGATTGGTTCTTCTGGTTCTGGTTTTTTATTTTACCTACAGCTACATGAAGTAATGAAAAATCACATAATTTAGTGTATAACTGTACATTGACATTCAATTTCCTGCTTTGAGTATATGTTGGACCTTTTTTCACTTCAAAACCGGTATGTCCATTCTCTATTGGACGTCTACATGGTAGAGCCATGACAAATAGACAGTATAATCACAAGCATTCAGCCCAGTAAATCTCATGGTTGTGAGAAGCATGACAAAGTAGAAAAGCTTAAAGGACATTTGGATCCAAATAATCAAATTTGCTAATAAATTTGTTGAGTTATTCAGAACTATGCATGAGTGCATTATATTCCTTTTTTTGGTTGTTGTAGAAAGTTCCATTCACGACTTCAGTAGTAAGATAATGTAATAGATTAGCTTTCTTGTCATTTATAATTTAGAAAGAAGGTTGACATCAATATTTTTGTGTCATATAAAAACATTTATTTGAAATTTGTGGTTATAAATGTTTGTCTTCTATAAGATGATTTACATGGTTGCTTTTTTCCTAACCAGAATTTTAGCGTTGGTTATATATTTTGCTTCTGTCAGCATGCTGACATGCCTATACCTGAACTCCTTTCCTTTTCATCATCACACTGTTATTATGACTACATAGTGAGACATTAACTCTTGGTTTATGTTGCTAAATTATAACTGATGAGCATTTTTGTTTTGCATTTATCTGCTGTTGTCCAAATTACAACACTTGGTCTGGACTTGCTGCACTTGTTTGGGGTTTGTCATTAGATGTCCAAAAGGTCTTATCTTTTTATTAACTACTATGTTTGATGCAGATCGTGGCTATTACTCTGTTGAGACGGTCACACTTTTGGTGGCCTTGAAAGTTCGTTATAGAGACAGAATTACCATCCTTAGAGGAAATCATGAGAGCCGGCAAATAACTCAAGTGTAAGTGGCTCCTTTTGCTAGTACACTTATGATTGTATGCTTTTCAAGAGTGAAATCTTATGATGAAACTGGTGGCATTAGAATATAGACAGAATATGTAGGTCCTCTTGTGATTATTTTCTTTGTCCGGCATGTTAATTTATATATTAGTTCAAATAAACCTTTGGCTGGTGAGCTAGTGATTCAATTTTGCTAGAACAACCATAAGGTTTAGTTCAATCTATTATTCTTATCCTAAGAGAGTCCTTATATAACCCAAAGTCTTGCACGAATGTGTAATGTAGAGTACTCAGTATGATACTGGCTGTTGTTAGCCACATGATGCTATTTAGTTTTTATCTAAATAGGAGATGTAGATTCTATCTATGTCGAGCTTTATCTGCAGTAAGGGGCTAACCACGAATTTCTCTTAATTTAATTTTGATAGTTATTTGCATTAAGGGTCTGATAATGAATTTCTCTTTTTTGCTATAATTTTAACTGATCCCTAGATTTAGTCGGAAAGGCATGGCTAATTGTTATCTGATAGGTGCCAATCTGGTTGTAGCAAATCTAAAAGTTTTACATGATTTATCTTCTAGATATACTGACATTTTCTTGGGATACATGATGTTGTACATAACTAGAGGGTGAGCTTTGGTAATTGGTATCAAGATAAGATTGCTCTCCTGCAATCTGCGAGATTAGAATTTAAATAATGGAAATTTTCTCTATGCTTGTAGCAGTAAGACTGCATAAGACAACAATGCTCCAAACTTGCATTAGCAGGAGCCTAATGCACTGGGAACACCATTTTTATATACTGATATTGTTTTGTCTCATACCTCTTGTTCTACTTCTTCTCTTTTTGTTTCTTAGTGCTCCTCCCTTCTCTTTTTACTCCCCCTTATTTCTTGTCTTATTCCTCAGTTAAGACAGCTTCTTTGTCATGGAAGTATGATACCTGATGCTAGTTATCTAGGATCAGCTTGAACATCTCTCTTCCTCTCTTACCTAAACCTTTACCTCCAGAGCATCCTTAGTGACCTTTAGTGTCTGTCACTTTACTACATGGCATACATGAAAGTACGAAGTTCAATAGCTAAGAGATGACACAAGACTGCAGAGTTTCATAGATGAGAGGAAGACAGAGGTTACCTAGTTTGTGAATAGTCAACAAAATTGAAGATCTTCGTCTAATTTAGCACAGGGAAATAGTTTTTGGATGTTAATCTAACAGCCATTAGTCATTTGAATTTTATTGATTATCCATGACTGACTTTTGTAAGATTTATAGCAAATGTGGATTAAGACAAACTTTTCTTGTTAAAAGAGCATTGCTTATTACATAGTTTGTCAGTGGAGAAAGAAAACCTTGATTTGGCAAGTACAAATGTTTGAAGTATATTACTTGTGCTTATGAATGTTATGCCTTTGATGACACCTTTATCAGATCCTTCTATTTCAACTCAGCAAGTAGAAATATATAATGCAAAAAAAGAAATGTTTTACTATGTAAGTTATGGGAAATTTGTTTGATGTTTAATAGCTACAGTAGTGGGATAAATTCCTCGATATTTCATGATATCTAAACTTTATTACATGTTCATCTTGGATTGTGGTTTCAGGTATGGCTTTTATGATGAGTGTTTGAGGAAGTATGGGAATGCCAATGTGTGGAAGTATTTTACTGACCTTTTTGATTATCTGCCTCTTACAGCTCTTATCGAGAGTCAGGTCTTATTTCCTGCTCCTTTACTCTGCACTTACTAATTTAGCCACTTTCAAATTCTCAAAAGATGTCATTGTTTTCTGATTGTAGATATTCTGTTTGCATGGTGGTCTATCCCCATCATTGGATACATTAGATAATATTCGTGCTCTGAATCGTATACAGGAGGTATGTGTCTAGATTCTATCATTGATTCTTCTACTTTCTCTATGTTGTATAGCAACTAATGGATCAGATTTTGTCAACTAACTAAAACTATCAATAGAAAACAGTAGTAATAATCATAACCAGTGAGCCTTTTTTCTAGATTGTAAGAAGGGCAGTGCAGAGCACTGCTTAAGGTTAGCTTAGTGCATAAGGCTCCTGCCAGTGCCAATGTGGAGTCTAGGAATAGTCAATGTATTCAGTCTTACCCCGGCAAGTAAAAAAAATTCTTCCAACTGATTCAAACAGACATGTGCTGAACTGGATCAGTCAGATGGGAGTATGTACAAACCCAGTCCTTTCAAATCAACCTGACCATTCTCTAACAAGTAAATTCTCTCATGGCTAGTCCAGTGGAATGATTTGGAACTAAGAATATGGATACATTTGTGGTGGTGCAACTGGTACCTAATTCAAGAGTTGTTTCAGTCCTCATCATTACATTGATTTTGTGTACGCTTGGTTTAATTCTAGGACACACAGTATTAGTGTCAATAAGTTGAAGGATGAGACTATTGAGATCATTGTCTTCAAAAGGCACTCGAGAGAGGTGAGATAAGGCCCGAGCACCTCGCAAAATGTCGAGGTGAGGCATTTCAATGAATCACCACTCGGGCGCTCACTTGTGCCTAGCTGCCGAACGCCTTGGACGAGTGCCTGAGCTAAATTGGATCGAGGTTCAAGCATGGTTCAATTGAATAAACAAGTTGGTTCAATCGAACCAACTAGTGTACTCTAAAATAACCAACCATTCCCCCCTTGGCTTGACCCAGTTAGACAAACAGGAAAACAAAACCCTACATCCACTGCTGCTGCCTTCCTCCGCAGCTTAGTTCGCCACCTTCTTCTTCCCCCACCTTCCTCCATAGCTGCCGGTTACTTTTTTTTCTCAATCCATTCTTTTTCATTTTTTATCAGCTTGTTGCACCATATTGAGGTGGTGCACTTTTACTCTATTAAGAGCTAGAATTGGTTAGCACATTTCATTGAATTTGAGTTAGAACTATGGTGCACTTTTTTCTCAGTCCATTCTTTCTCATTTCAATCAACTTGTCTCTATCAGTAGAACCCTGTGTAGCACATTTCATTGAATTTGATGTTAAACTTAATTGTTTTAATATTTTTGTTATTAGAAGATGGACAATGTAATTTGGCATTTTATGTGATTTCAATTTTCTGTGTTATTTTTATTTTTTTATCATATTTATCAATCATAATATATATTTTTAAATTTTTAATATTCTGGAACATCGGGTGGGCATCTAGGCGAGCGCCTAGCACTTTTGAAAACACTGATTGAGATAAGCTCTGGCACATCAACATGATAAGTTTTGTTGTAAATAGCTTGTATATTTAGCTTTGAATTGCAGAGTGACCATCATAAATTGTCCATTAGAAACATTTCAACAACTTAACCCCATCCTTTGTTTTGAAGTTGAGGTTTGTCTATTTTCTTTTAGGTTATGTTCACATGAAACTGGAAATTCTCAGCTCTGAGTCGACAAATGTACTAGTTACCCGTTTCCATAATACTTTTCTATTTATAAGTATTTGTTATGTTTTGCGGTGTCTTTTTAACATCTAAGTTGGTTTACTTAGTTACCATATGAAATAACTTAAATTCTTATTTGGCCTATAGGTTCCACATGAAGGTCCCATGTGTGATCTTCTCTGGTCTGATCCTGATGATCGATGCGGATGGGGAATATCACCAAGGGGAGCAGGATACACATTTGGACAAGATATTGCGCAACAGTTTAATCATAATAATGGCCTAACTCTGATTGCAAGAGCCCATCAACTTGTTATGGAAGGTTTTAATTGGTGCCAGGTGGGTTGAAATGTTGGTTAAATATCTGGTCACTTTGTAGGGTTTTTATACCAAATATTTTGTCGCAAGGTGCATTTCTTAAAGATTGCTGCTTCTAGGATGACAGCAGGAATAACTTGTGATTGATAGATTACCAGTGGGTGATTAAATAGTTATATGGGGAACGAAGGCAAGAGAGTCAAAAGAAAATGTTGGATGTTTGAGAAAATGAAGAGAATACCAAAAAAAAAATTATTCTTTAAATTTACTGGATAATTTTTCTATCTGGTTTTCCCCGTTCTCTTTGTTTAGCATTGTGTTCATGGTATTTATACTTGGCTAACCAGATTTAGTTGTTCCCTCGGCATATTTCCCATTAATGATAATTCTGTAGCATGTGTGGCAACTTTGGTTATGTTCTCTTTATTTAAACTAGGGTAGCCCAATTCAATCGTTACCTCTGCACATTTTCCATGGATGACACTTCTGTCTCACAGTGTTGTATCTTGGATTCTGCCTGTCAAATTAAGTTTGTTGCATCAGTGTAAAGGAAAGGTCTTGAGATTATGCATGCAGAATTTGTTGATCATATTTGTGTTATTCTGAAGTCAATTTATCAGAATGTCTTAATCAGTTTTGTCAAAGATTAACTGGAGTAGAGCACATTATATATTGCTTGAATTCCTTCTAGGGCCAAGTGGACTCCAGCAAATTTTGTTTCATTATGCAGCATTTTTAGAGGCCCTAACTTGTTATGCATATTTTGCGCACGTTGTCATGAGTGCAGGACAGAAATGTTGTTACCGTGTTTAGCGCGCCAAACTACTGTTACCGGTGTGGTAACATGGCAGCTATATTAGAGATTGGGGAGAACATGGATCAGAACTTCCTTCAGTTTGATCCAGCACCACGACAAATCGAGCCCGATACTACTCGCAAAACTCCCGACTACTTCTTGTAGTCTCGGGAACACTTGGTTGGCTTAAAACGAAGTGTCTACCTTCATGTATGATGTGTGAAAGTCATTGAAATGAGCTTCTGGTGGTTGGAAATACCCCCATATTTAACATTTTTGTTTGGAAGCTGTAGCGACTGGTGGTGCTGCTGGTTGCAAGGAAGTGAATGCAGAAGCAGCAATAAGAAGCAAGATTATCATGTTTTATACACATTCTCTGTTCAAATTGGAAGATGCGAATGTGACTGCCTGCTGCTGTTCAACTATAAGTTCTGCAGTTGATCATTGGTGTTTCTTACCCTAACCATTGTTCATGGCAACTGAGGTTGTCTGAGTACTCGAGTCAGTGGAGGTCTCCTAAGATTCCTTGTGCTTGCTCGGGGTTCTCTGGATGACAGCATCCAATTTTCTGTTAAATATTAGGGCTTTCTTCAGGTGACTTGTCTGTGAATCTTACAATATGAATTGGTTGTGGCTTTGGTAGGCGTCCTTTTCTGTTAAATATTGTTGTTTTCTCACATAAGACCTCATCTGAGTTGGAGCAACACAGTCTTGTTCTCTGTTAACACTAAGTTCCATCAAGAGTTGGGATGATTGATGTTATCATGAAACGAGACGTACAAAAATGCTCTCTTTGTCATCTGGTGTGAATCGTGGCATCCTTCACAGAGTCGAATTTATTATTTACCAGGATAAACTTTGGTTAACTAACTAAATCATGGGTTGGATTGGTGTGGCATTCAGTTCAGATTGATAATTCAGTTCAGTTGCATACCAGGCTAAACTTTGGTTAAGTAACCAAACCCATGATCCACATGAGCTGAAGCTATTAGCAATCGAGCTCGTAAAGATGCCATGCTTTGCTACTCCCTTTCTTCTAATTTTGCATGGAATTACTTGTTCTTTTTAGTAGTATATTTATTATCCAATAAACTATATCGATTATGTAGTAAGGGAGAAATAATATTGAGTATTTTACAAACTTTTAGTATTGTGCTTTTACCTGATGGTACCTGTGCCTAATTGGTTTGGCCACGGGTCATGCATCGTGAGTAGCATCACCCATTTTCGTCACCCATCGCAAGCAACGCCACTTGTAGCCTCTGCCCAATGCTCCCATCGTGAGTGGTGTCGTCCCTCCTCACCATTATCATTGCCATTACCACCTCCTCCCTTCGCCTTCTCTATCGTCGCTTATGATCTTTTATGAGGGAGCTCATTGTATATAAGCATAAAAACCATAATATGCTATATGTTACGTGAAAAAATTTTAAATATTAGAATTAAAATTAAATAATAATAAATCAGATTTACAACATGTATCTTTCGATATCATCTGGAAAGAACCTTGTTTGATCTACAGTGGCACCACCGTCTTTGGATTCGAAAATCATAGTAATGTCGATCTGCAAGGAGAACTATACTCTCCTTCAACTCTCTTCCTATCCTTTTACAGGACCACTTAGATTGATGGATTAGGGACAAGGGAGGATAAGAGAGAAACCGTAATCTCTCAATGACTATCACGTATCCATGTCTTGTGTTTGTGCCCGTGTCTATCACATGTCATGTGTCTAATTCCTAGGAGATCCTATTTATATATAGAAAGCAAATGATTTAGGATAAATAATTAGAATAGTTCCTCTCAACGATATCTCCTAAGGAATCATACTATAATATGGACTTCCTTTCTATTAACTATAACTTTCATCAAAACCCAATCAAATCTATAATATATCTTATCAATTAGATTAGGCTACATAATATAGCATTCTCCTACTTGACCCATTAATGGGTAAGATATAAAAGAAATTTAAAATTAAGATAAATAAAATAAAATTTATTTAAAAATAATTTTACCTAATTGGATTCTAAAAATTTTAAAAAATATTTTTGAACATAACTATGAATTTTAAAGTAAGCCAATAAGTCCAATAAGTATAATACTACATTAAGTCAAACTATCAATATGAGTCATAACGATTGTATGTTCTTAATGTCATATTCTCTTTTATATATCAAAACATTATTAGTCTTTCTTAATATAATTCATAATAACTCTTGTAATTTATCTCTTTAAGATAATCATGTTATTACATTCAACTATAATATGCATAAACATAAATATAAATAGGATAGTTATAATTACCAATAATTTCTCCCTTAACATAAATTAATTACTATAAATGATGTATTGCTTTATTACTAACTTCTATGTACTATAATTAAGAAAATAATTAAATTTAGTTTCCTTAATCACATGGATAAGTTAGATTCAATTTCCTAATGACTGATTTGATATTTAGGAAGTAAATAGTTTATATTCTATTTTTGCGTGTGAACAATAAGATATGAATATTATATTACTTTCTTTGTGTGTGAAAATAAACGAAAAATAAATTAAAAATAAAAATTAAACTATTACTTGTTAGGATCAAGAACACTAAGAGGGAGGGGGGGGGTGAATTAGTGTAGCGAAAATCTTTCGATGATAAAAACGTTCGAATGATAAAAACGATTTCGGTGTGAAAGCCGATTCTAAGATTACTTTAACTTAAGATCAAGCGAGATGACGTTAAAGTCAATCTATGAAGGCAGTTTGCAGTTATGATGAAAACCATAATACGAGCGCAAACTAAAATATGACGTTCGTACGAAGAAACTGATTTACGTCTAAATGATGATTCGTAAATCACTTGATTAGGCGAGATGCAACTTAAGCAAGGATATTAAGGCAGTTTGCAGTTAAGATAGAAATCAAAACGTAAACGCAAACTGAAATATGATGATCATACGAAAAAACAGATTTACGTCTAAACGTTGATTCGGAAAGTGCAAAGCTGAAACCCGATCGTATATGCGCAGAAAGCAGTAAGCTTTAGAGGAGGTTTGCAATAAAGATAAAATGCTCAAAGTAAATGCAAACCGAGATTTAGAGTGGTTCGGTCAATCTTGACCTACTCCACTTTTGACTTCCTCCACCGACGAGGTCACCGACGTCAACTAGAGGCCTTCCTTCAATAGGCGAAGGCCAACCACCCTTTTATAGTTTCACTCCTTTTGACGGGCTTAGGAGACAACCCTTACAGAATTTTCTCTCCTCTCCTCTCTTTACAACTCAGAACTTGGAAGAAAAGAGGGAGAAGGACTTTTGGCCTTTACAACAATTTTGAGCTCTAAAAATCACAAAACAAGATCAAGATTTCGGAGTGTATTCTGTGCCCTTTCAGTGCTGAATGGGTGGGGTATTTATAGGCCCCAACCCAGTTCAAATTTGGAGCTCAAAACTGTGAATTCCCGGAATTCCAAGATCAGGCGGTTGCACCTCCTGACTGGAGCGGTTGCACCGCCTGGTAGAGCTCGAAGACTGAGCCTCTAGGCGGTGCCACCTCTTGTCAGGGGCGATTGCACCTCCTGCCAAAGCTCGAAGACCGAGCTCAGGCGGTGAAACCTCCTAACTGAGGCTGTTGCACCGCTCAGCCAGTGCTCGGAGACCGAGCCCAAGCGGTGCCACCTCTTGTCAGGGGAGGTTACACCGCCCAGTCTCGCTCGGAGACTGAGCTCAGGCAGTGCCACCGCCTGGCTGGAGCGGTTGCACCTCCCAGTCTCGCTCGGAGACTGAGCCCAGGTGGTGCAACCTCCTGCCTTGGGCGGTTCAACCGCTTGGCAGAAATCAGGGTCCAAATGGGTTGATCCATTCGACCCAATTTGGGTTTTTCAGGGGCCCAATTGCCCCAAGATTAAGTTAATGGGATCACCTCCCATTTCCAACTTAATTATTGTGCTAACTACGACATTCCCTAAGACATTTACTGCAACTTGCTCCGGTGCGTCAATCGCTTCTTCCGGCGAGCTTCCGGTGAACTTCCGTCGATCATCCGATGAACCCTCGGTGATGCTCTTGCGGACTTCCGGCAAACTCCTGGACTTGCGACGATCCACTTGGCGAGTTCTGACGAGCTTCTTTGGCAAGCTCATGGACTTCTCGGATTTGTTCCTGCAGAACCTCCGACGACTGTCCGAACTTCCATCGAACTCTCGAACTCCCAACGTGATCATTGTCTTGACTCCGGCACAACTCCTGCTGCATGTCTTACTTTTATCGTAGTTAATCCTGCACACTTATTTCAACATATGG